CCCCCCTTTTGCGGGCGGCGGCCTCGAGCCTTTGGGCTTTGTCCGAGGGGCTTTGTCGCTTTCTTTCGGCCCTGCTCGAAATGCCTGAGGACGGGTGAGAACAAAGTGACATCAGCCAGTCCCCCAGCCCCCCTCAGAACAGCTGCTCTGGCCTGCTCGCAGCATGCTTGCCGCCACCCCGCTCCGCCGCGGCTCCGCCCTCCTCCTCGCCTGCGCGCGAGACCGCCCTCTCTTCCTCTCCCCCCCCTCTCCCTCTCCCTCTCCCCCTCTCTCTCTCCCCCTCTCTCCCTCCCCAGGCGCGGGACAGCCCACCCGCGCCCGTGAGAGGCTGGCGCGGGCCCTTCTCTCCCCGCTCAGAAGGGGCCGCGCCTCCGCCAGCAGCGCCTCCGCCAGCAGGGCCTCCGCCAGCAGCGCCTCCGCCAGCAGGGCTCGCCTGCAGGAAGTGTCCGAGAAGGGTCAGGGGTGGGCCCCACTTCTGCGGCGACCCCCTTCCGCAGGAGCCGCTAGCCGAGCGCTCCGCCGCCGCCCCGCCCGACGCCGCGCCCGACGCCGCGCCGCCAGAGGAACAAGAAGCGCCGCCCGAAGAGGAGGGGGTGGGCAAGCTCTGCTGCTGCTGCTGCTGCTGCTGCTGCTGCTGCTGCAGCGCCGCTCGACGCTCCGGGTGCATCGCAGCCCTCGCCGTCGCACGCCTCACCCACTCCGCGTCCGAGACGACGGGCGCCCCCCCCTCCGCCCCCTCCGCCCCCCCCTCCGCCCCCTCCTCCGCCCCCTCCCCCCCCCCCTCCTCCGCCCCCTCCGCCTCCTCCCCCTCCTTGGCCGCCGGCGGGTCCCACTGCGCCGCGCCGCTTGCAGGGTGCGCCTGACGCCTCTCACAGAAGCGCCTCTCACGGACGCGTCTCCAGCAGCCCTCCCCTTGCGCGAAGGTGCGACACAGCGGCGCGCATAGCAGTAGCCGCGCTCTACACCGCGGGGCTGGCTCTCGGCTGCACCTCGGCTGCACCTCGGCTGCACCTCGGCTGCACCTCGGCTGGCTCTCGGCTGTCTCTCGGCTGCCTCTCGGCTGTCTCTCGGCTGCATCTCGGCTAGATCGCGCGTAGTAGTAGCCGCGGCTGGACACGTCCCACGCGCGCGTCCAGCCGGGAGGCAGGTGGAGCGCCTATTCACAGCTACACTACTCACAGCTACACTATTCACGGCGTCCATCCGGGCGGCGGGTGTGTCGCAGGTGTGTCGCCTCGAGGGTGTGGAGCAGCTGTGCGCCGTCTCGCTGGAGGAGGGACCAGAGGTAGGGGCTCTGCAGCGCTCCCGCCTGCAGAGGAGGCGGGAGGGGGGGGGGGAGTGTGTGTGAGTGT